TTGTAAAGAGTGAAAGAGTAATTAGCTTCACAAATTGTGCTAATGTGTTGTTTATACTTTTGCAGATTGTCACTTATTTTAAGTAGTTTTATGAGTACAATGTTATAATGTCACACAAACACAGACACATAACACTTCTCATATCGCTGACGTGACACACATATCAAGTGACATGTCAAATGTATGTGACATGACATACATGCCTGTCGTGTCACTGTAGACATAGTGAGTTAACCCGTGTAAATCGCACGCAGCCTGCTAATACAATCTATATATATAATTCTCTTCTTCGAGCCGTTAGAAAACAAGCTGCAAACGCTCTCCCTACCTCCCCACCCCTACATGGTTTTAGTGAGCTGTGTTCACTCTAAATGTTTACAAGCAGAGCCAACGATTTTAAAAGTAGGGGGGGAGGAGGGGGGGGGAGGGAAGGAAGGGGGGGTTATGGTCCTTAACGAGCTACTTATAGTGTTTTAAAGAAATATTTTCAGTGTCAGCGTTGGTACTGTCGAATTCACAAATTATGAATTATTGAAAATTAGAAACAACTAAATAGCGGCGTATGTTATGCCGCGGGCCGGCTCGTGTAATATAAAACGTCTCCGATTATTTCCGATTTCAAGTTCAGGTTCACCGATCATTGCCGATCTCAGGTTCAAAGTTCGGCGGTCATTGCCAAGCTCGAGTTGAGAGTTGGCCAGAACACGTTCAACCAAAACAAGCCCAAATTGAAATGTTTCCACGTCCTCGCCCTAAGCCATTTTCTTTCTGAACAGCATCTTGTTTGGCTCTTAGAAAACGATTTTTTTCTGGCCAAATCACGTGGCCATTCTTGATCTAACTTGGGCTTTAACACGATGAAGTTTTCTAATGATAGGGAGGGGGTTAGGCAGTCGTTGATAGATACTGGATGGGGTGGGGGGGGGGGAGGGGCGTCCAACTGTTATGTTCTATATCTGCATATTTTATGGCTCTTTTATATCTGTATGCGTGAGTATTGTGTTAAGTTCTTCAAATAAGTATACCCACAACTTTCTTAATATTACTTGGATTGAAAAAGAAGTTTAAACACATGTATAAATTCAACTTTTAATGCGACTGAATATTATTTTGAATCAACTTAATTTAATGTTACTGTCAATATAACTTTCGTTCAACCTTTAATGTAGATTTGAACATTGTTTTAATAATTTTAAACTTAACTTTGGATACCGATTTGAAAAAAAAAAAAATTGAATACAACGCTAGCTTATTATTTGTGTATCGCCTGTCTTTTTTTGTCACGATTTTCATGCGGATGTCGTGCGGTAAACAAAAGAGGATGATGTAAAGATTAAAACCTATTCAGGGTTCGAACCCCGCATGAGTAGGTTCATCACGTGGCCGAGTTCCGACACCCGAAACCTCACGACCGCCGTGAGTCGGAGATTTGCTGCGATGCCGGAACGGATTTCCGAAACCCAACGACCGCACTGAGCTTGGAACGTGACAAGAAAATTAAGTCCAATGTTTTTGTTTGAAGCTAATTCCAAGCGCATTAAAAGCAACGATCCATTGTTTAAAAAAAAATCGAGTCTTCGATTTGCAAAGAATACGTGGACCGTAAAATTGTCTACGTCATCACACGGTGGCCGGAATAAACCGGTTCTTTGTTGTTGTTTTTTTTAATGGCGGGATAACTCGTCCTGTCGTTCACTGCGCTGAGCAGACGTCAACAGGATGTTTGTCGTCTGTGACGTCATCGATGTTTTGCCCCATTCCGTGACGTCAACAATCCTGCGTCTAACCGGTTCTACGACGTCATGTACCCTATGTCCAATCCCCCCCCCCCCTCATCAATTCTTTCACCTTTCACTAACCCCTTTACTATCATAGAATTAAACCAATCATAAAACGAATTGAAAGGCTAATTCTATAACTAGATCGATAACTGATTGTACACAGACTCGCATAGGTATTTGTATAAAAATTTATTGCATTCAAATTTTATATCTTTTATTGTTATTACGGCATTTTTTTCGAATCGACATTAGTGGAACAGGGAGGGGAGGGCAGGGCGGTTCACTGCTGGTATTAATAGTTTTCATGTATAATAAAAATGTACCGTTTCGGAAAACTAACTAATCTGTTTCCAATCAATTTATACAAAAAGTCAGGTATGAATATACGTAAAGCAGATGAAGAAGAGCATACCAGATTTTTTTAATGGAAATATATTTAAATATGAATACACACAGACATTATATATATATATATATATATATATATATATATATATATATATATATATATATATATATATATACATGCATAACGTGTGTGAAAATGATGTATAGATAGGCCGCTGAGTGTCGTAAGACAACAAGCCAGCCACGTGACCTCATGTCTTGATTCTAAAATCAGACGACAAGCATGTTTCGGTCACGTGACGGCCATACATCATTGGTAACATTTTTTCCGTTGTTTAATTGGGTCATCAGGGCTAGGAGCAGCTGATCCCGGTCCTGGTGGGGTGGGGGGGGGGGGGGGGTTGGGGACATATCGGCCCATGTGGGGTCGGGATGTTGCCTTTGTCTCCAGGAAATGATGGATGAGGCTTGGTGTCTCAAACTTTCTAGAGCTTGTATTATGTGGGGTGGCCGGAAAATGCGCAATGGAAAATTACGCAACCGGAAACTTCGTACAAACATCTGCGCACGGGAATATTTTTTTTAATCGAGGATTTGTAGACATGAGCAAAGAATGATCATATTGTAGCATTATAAAATATTTTTTTCCTCAAGATAGGACAACATTAAAGAGTATTAGGATATTTAGTTTATATTTGCACATTTTTTTTTCAGTTTGCGAAGTTTTCCGCTTGCGTATTTGTCTGTGAATCGCAGCGAGGAAGTTCAAGGATATTTTAATTAGCGTACTAATGTAACAATTTGATTTTTTTTAACAACACTCTCAGAAACATGAATTTCATCATAGTTTAGGATACTGGTATTTCTGATAAAGCCCAAACGTCGGTTCCTTAGGTGTTGTTGGTCTTGACATTGAAGAAATACTTGAGAAAACCAACAAAAGTGCGTCATTAATAAAGATGTATGCGTCAGGGAGTCACGTCCAGACACAAAGCTAGAGGGAGAGCGGAGGTGGGGGAGGGGGCGGGGGGGGGTGTGGCCCTGAGCGCCGACACTTGTGTTCGCCAAAAGGGAATAGAGAAAAAAATTAAAAGGTCATTCTGAGCTGCATTACGTAATTTATACACAGTCAAGATAATCCAATAGTCTGCTGCTTTGTTTTACAAATTGACTGAACTCTTTTTTCATCGAATGTATTTTATAGCAATTTAAAAACTGTTCAGTTTTTATATTTAAAGTGAAGGATAAAAAGCTACCCTCACATTTTCCATATTGGCGAACGGGCCAAATATAGCTAACGTGTATCAGAAGTTTTTTCACTTAATTATGTATGGGGTCATCCATAAATGACGTCACCCTTTTTTGCCATTTAGACATCTCCCCCCTCCCCTCCGTCACACATCGTCACACCATTTGAACACATCCCCCGTCTCCCCATCATCACACACCGTCACAAAATTACGGACCCCTCCCCCTACGAGAGTGACGTCATTTATAGACGACCCCTATAGATAAGTAAAGAGTTACTACAATGGAGAGTTCAAACCATAGCGACGGCGGATGAACTAAAAGATTTTTTAAAATGATATTCTTAATACTCATTTGTTTTTCTAACATCGCCTTCCATTCTATCAAACCCTAAAGCATTATGTTGAACTCCCGTGTTTCTCATTTCATCAACTACACATGGTGCTGAAAAAAGGAGAGTTCCCCACGGACTTCCCCCACCCCACCCCCATGGGTCGCAACGCCTCTGGCCACACTACAATGTGAGTGCAGCATTGGGCACGGAATACCGCGATGCACGCGCAGAATTTACTTACACCAACAACAATCGAAATACAACAAAAGAAATCAACAGTTCTCCAAAACAATAGAAATCAACGTTTCCCAAATCAAGAGAAATACTCGCGTGCCAAAACAAAAGAAAACGAATTAAAATTTCATTCCCCCGTCCAGCACAAATCAACACATGAAACGTATTTACCGTTGCCGCAGTCTATGAATTGTTTTAAACTCACAGCGTGATAATTATGTTTACTGTGTGAGTGATGTGTTTACACGATTTGTTTATTCTCTCTCATTATTTTACTAGCTTCGTGTTTGTCTAGTGTGTGGCGTATCAAGGATCTCAGAAATTTTGGAACGCCGTCTCAATATTTGCCTGGGACGGTTGTGGCTGTTGTGTAAACAAACATTGGCAAGCAATGTAGATACGAAATCACACAAATGGCCAATTTTTAATTGATTTGATTTCTTTTCAGACGGCCATCTTGTCAAACCATCCCAGCAGCTGCGGGGGTTGTACCACGTGGTACACTTACGTGACGTCACCAGTTCCTGCTCTCCAGTTGGAATCAAATATTTAAGACACTTCCTGGAGGCGTGCTAAGTGCAAGGCTGTAATTAAGAATCAATTTTAATTAATAACTCACGCCTGTCGTCTGCTAATAACGTCCGGTGAGCTGAAGTTGAGGCGCGTCGTTTTGATTCGCACCTGGGGGTGATCTAGACAGGTGTTGATGTTACAGGTCATTAGGGGCACGGTGGGTGAGTTAATCAGGTACTGACTTGTATGTCGTCAGGTGCTCGTGCAGGCATTTTTTTTTACTCACCAGTAGAATATAATTTTTTTTTAAAACTTGCATATATTTTAAAACTAGTGTTGACTTTAATTTTAAAAGTAATACAGTATTAACGATTTGGTATGTGTGTTCATATGGAATAGAACGTCAACTATTTTGAAATTGTTACCCGGATATTCATACATTAGACTGAAAGTTGATTGTTAATTCATTCAACTCCACCCGCAATGTGTTGATTCATTCGACTCCACCCGCAATGCCCTGAGTTTTCATCCAACGATTTCAAAACACACGTCTTCAACGTCACAGTTTTAACCAAAATTACGTCATCCTAATGGTATCGGAAAACGTGACCAGTGACGTCATGTACAACTTGACCTACCACGTGATCCACAACGTCACGGACGACAGCCAGACGACATTCCCGGAGGACCTGAGTCAGCAGCCGTACCCCTACCCTCTCGAGTTCAAGCCGGTGTGGGAGGTGGCGGTCAAGACGCTGCTCTATGTCCCCGTCATCGTCTTCGCCATCATCGGAAATGTCGTCGTTATACTCGTTGTGGTCAAGAATAAACGGATGCAGGTGAGGCGTTTGTGTGTGGGGGTGTGGGGACAGATGTGGGTGGAGATATTGATCTTGTTATGTGGCTGTAATGTGTGGGTGTTGGTGTGGCTATAATGTGTGGGTGTTGGTGTGGCAGTATTGTAAACATTATTGGACGTGTGGCTATCTTAGTGTTCAAGCCTGATGTGGTACTGTATCAGTTGTTCGCGTGCTGCTGACGTGCTGTGTGGGTGTGTTGATGTGTTGTGCGAGTGTTGCTTGTGTGGGGTAAGTTTGTATTTATGTTCGTGTGGGGTAAGTTTGTATTTATGTTTGTGAAATAATCTTTAATCCGAACCAATTTTTTTAAAAGAACTAATTAAGAACGAAGAAGAAGAAGAAACGAACTAATTGTGTAACCAAATGTCCTCTATCCGACTTGTTTAACCCATGTCTTTAATTATTCCCCCCTCCTCCCCCCCCCCTCCTTGCAGACAACGACCAACTACTACATCGTCAATTTGGCTGTCGCCGACTGTCTTGTAGCGCTGGCGTGTTCCTGGCCACACCTGGTCGACGACCTGACGCCATTTTGGATTCTCGGAGCATTTTTCTGCACGTTGAATACATTCTCACAAGGTCAGTTTTAGCTGCACCCTCGGGCTAATTAGTTAATTAGCGCACGCTGCAGGGTAACATGAAAACATGCACGGATAAACCTCGCGGGGTGCACATATAAACCCCGGGGTTCACAGATAACCCGCACAGATAACGCTAAGATAACACACGTGACATGCAATCAGCTGTAAAGTTAATCAGTATTTATCATCATTACCCTCATAAATCGTTTCCATAAAGTAAAAAAAAATTAAATAAATAAATAAATAAATCGTGCTCACCATTCGATGCGCTTATGGTATTTCTGCCGTTAAAGTCTATGGGTCACAAGGACTGAATGGATGCCACTACCCCCACCCCCCCCCCCCCAACTCTCCCCCACTGCCATCTACACCTTACTTTTTGTTTTGTCTTAGGTGGGGGGGGTGAATCTTTAAGGTGACACGTGTCAGAAAACCTAAGGGTAGCACTTAGCCAAACCTAAGTGTAGCACTTAACCAAACCCTAAGTGTAGCACTTAGCCAAACCTAAGTGTAGCACTTAACCAAACCCTAAGTGTAGCACTTAGCCAAACCTAAGTGTAGCACTTAGCCCAATCCTTAGGGTAGCACCTAGCCAAACCCTAAGGGTAGCACTTAGCCAAACCTAAGTGTAGCACTTAGCCAAACCTAAGGGTAGCACTTAGCCAAACCCTTCAGGTACCTTGATCAGGTTGGCGTAAAACGCGAAGGAAGAAAGCTCATATGTCACGTGATATTCCCAGTCACCTGACACCTCTCGTCACGTGACTGGTCCGACCACGTGACATTTGTCTTCAAACGTGTACGCCTCTCCGCCGTTCAGCCGTTTTAGTGCAGGATCCGTTGCCATGGAAACCTATGAAAATTCAACTCTTTCCTTAATCAATAATTATTTTTTTAAAATCTGAGCTATTCTATGAATATATTAGAAGTTTGTTTAGACAACTACATCTAAGTTTTAATGTCAATATTTCACAATACAATTATGTGGATATTTTAAACGTACAGGCAGTTTTAATAACGGAAAATATTCTTTTCCTAATCTCGTACATATATTAAGAAATAAAAAATATATCGCTGTTTTACGTACATAAATTAAATTGATTGAAAAGAAATGTTAATCAAGTTTTGTGAACAAAAAAAATGGCTGTCGTTCAAAAAGAAATACCAATGTATAAACAATCAAACATATTTTGAGCGAAACGATGATATCCGTTTCGTCATGATTGCCAGTGACACTTTTTAATCTTTCTAATTCATTTTATTCTCACACCTGAGTCTGGGGTATTTTTTAAACGGTTGACCTTCGTCTTCTGCTTATTTTCATCCAATCGTTTATCTCCGTCACTCCGTGGCGATTAGCGATTGGCTGAGAAAAACAAGGGCAGATAATCTGTGTTAAACTTTTTTTTTAAAGTGTGGAAGTACTTTTTGTGATATACACTGTTAACAAGTACTATTGCTAAATGCAGTAAATATAAGACTTGTAATTGTTGTAAAAGTACGTCAGTTTTAGAGTGCAAAAAAAAAAAAAGATTGTATAACAAAAAAAAAAGCTGTAGAAGTATATAGTTCATGAACAACATCACAAATCACGTTTTTCAAATTGCTAGATTTCACACTTTTACGTTTGTTACAACATCGAAGGTGGGATAAATAGTGCGATAAAATGTGTGATTTTAAAAACTAAGTTGTGTCTCGAGTTTCGAATAATATGATCTCGAGTTTCGAACAATCAGATCCCGAGTTTAATTCTATCCCGTAATGCTTTGGTAACCAGAATCAAAGGTTGTTTCATACTTCGATTACGAAAGACCACACGTTCGTAGTCAGAAATGTTCGTGAACCGAATCTTCTTCAACTCTCTGCTTGAATGTTTTATAGGTCATAACCTGTGCTTATTTCAATCAATAGACTCAATAGTATTTTATATTAAACCGGAAGTATAGTAATATTTAGGTTTTAATAGGCTAGAAATTAATGTATTCCCTCAACAACAATAAACGAAACAAAATGTAACGAAAATAACTGAAGCGGTTCTAATTAATGATTTGATCCGCCAAATAGACAATATATTCCACAATGGTTTTCTCGGCGAGGCCGTTGTTTCATCAAGTATGTATAGCAGTTGGCTACAATCTTCTACATTAGCAATATGGCCGCTGGCACGTGGGCTGGTGGGAGCTAAATAAAAATGGCGACAGGCCATAAAAAATTCACAACCTGCCCAGGGGAAGAAAGGAAGATTGTTTCGTGGTTGTAGAAATAAACGGGGGGGGGGGGGGGGGGGGGGTTACCTGGCTCAAAGGTACAGGTGGTTCCAGGTTCTCAGCGGTCTCCCTAGCTGGGGGTCACGTGGTCAAAGAGCGGTACCACCAGGTGATGTGGGGGCGGGTGCTTGTTAGGACATGGGGGGGTGCTCGTTAGGATATGGGGGTGGGGGGCGGGTGATTGTTAGGACATGGGGGTGGGTGTTGGTTAAGATATGGGGGTGGGGGTGTATGCTTGTTAGAACATGGGGGGTGAGGGTGCTCGTTAGGACATGGGGTGGGGGCGCTTGTTTGGATATGGGGGTGGGGCGGGTGCTTGTTAGGACATGGGGTGGGGGGTATGCTCGTTGGGACACAGGGTGGGGTTGCTTGTTAGGATATGATGTTGGATGCTTTAGCACAGGGGGGGGGGGTAATATGCTTGTAAGGATATGGGGTAGCGATTGGATGCTTAAGAGTCACGCTATAAGTAAAAGTTCACTGTGATTATTGTTTAAAGGAAACTTTAAATTTCTGTTTGGGAGCCTCTATATTATATTTCGGTTAAATCCTAATTATTCTTTGTATTGAGTCAGAAATCTTACCTATCACGTGTAGTTGTTTTAAATATTATACAGATCTCAAGTGTATGTTATAATTAGAAATTCCACATCTAGATTGTGTATGTTTTAATTAGAAATTCCAGATCCAGATTGTATATGTTTCAATTAGAAACTGTTTCTCTTTTCGGGTATTCCAACATTCACTTTTAGTAAATAGGAACACCCAAGTTATTTTAAGCCAACGTGGGTATTGTGGGTATTTGTGACGTCACATCCGTTCTGTATTGACGAGAAACAGCTTGTATTTGAGAACCACCAATAACCAATAAATTGTGTTTTTTTTTATATTACTGTAACACTTGATGATGTGTGGGGGGGATGTTAGTTTAGATCAATTAGTGAGATCTTGGATCACTCGCGTATAAAGTGAGCAATTTCCTCTCGATACTGAATCGTGAGTGGCATAGGGTTGTTTCATCTGATAGGTTGGTGTTCAACAAGGTGTGACTGGAGTTATGGGGGGGGGGGGGTGGGGGGTGATGGGAGGGTTAGGCATTTCGTGTCACTTTGTGACAAAGTGGGTAGGTTTAACTTCTCAATAAATATCTGACATGCTTGGAGCTTAATGTAAAAGGTAGGTTTAATTTCTCAATAAATATCTCACATAAAAGATTCCTCTTTAGACTTAGCGATCCATTGGGCAGGTGAAGTAGAGTTCATCTGTTTCTTGAGCTCGACATAGTGTGGTCAGCACTAAGCCCAGCCGCTTTGACTCACGGACGTCTTACAGTCACAAATCCGAAACGAGATCTGAACTCAAGAACTTCGGTCTAGCAGTCAAACACTCTACCATTCGACCACGCCGTTTCAAATATCTGACTCGCATGGAGCTAAATTGAATCAAAGATTTCAAACCGTGAGAGCAGATAGTGACTCTACTGAGCTTAAAGGAAAGTGACACGTCATACATTGGAGCGGGGAAGGAGGTGCAACTACAAAATACATGACTTCGTGATCGAATTTTTCAACTTAGTTTGAGGTGAAGTGGTGTGGGTGGTGGGAATAAAAGTGCATCATTGGAATAGTTTACTGAGTGATCGTATTATTGAACATGATTTGGTAAGAAAGGGGGTGGGGGTGCGAATTAGAAGTGCATCATTGGAATAGTTTACTGATCATATTATTGAACGTGATTTGGTTAGAAAAAGGGTGAGTGAGGCGAATTACATATGCATTTTTTGGACCAGTTTATATTTCCAAGTTGTCGTTAACTAAGTGTGGGGCGGGTACTCAGGTGGTGGAACGAATTACCTGTGCACCATAAAGATGTTTACTTTGTGCTCGTGTTTTTTTACCCGGCCTGGACTAGAGAAGGACGGACGAGGTACACCATTGGGATGGTTTACATTTGAATGTTGACGTATTATTTAGCCGGTGCGACCTTGTTGTGGTTTTATCCTATCCTTACCCGACATTTTCACCTGGAAATTACCTGTGGGTGAGTGGCTAGACTGGGACAAAATACCCAGCCCCCACCTGTGTAAATACAGGTACTTTAGTAACGAGACTCCTAGAGATCGTTTCTATCGCATCTTCAAGGGGGGGGGGGGTAAGTGTTGGTCTTTTGCTACGTGCTACACAATGGCTACATCAAATGCTACAGGTTAATCACGCGCTGATAAAATTAGCTACACATCATTTGGTCTATATAAAGTGTTCTTTTTAAAAAGAAAACGTTCAAAACTAGAAGCCAATGTAGAATACAGCCACAATAAGTTAAGACAAAATCTATCCAGTTAAGACAAAATCTATCCAAGTATTACCTCCCAGAACAAATATTTACCAGAAATACAACTTCTAACGTCGCTTCCTGAAAACCACCCCAAAACGCCACCCTCCAAAAACCAGGCCAAGCCCACCCTCACAATAAACAGTTTACCCCCCCCCCCCCCCCCACACACACACACACGTAAAAGAACTTACGACGAACCCTTCCCACCCAGCTTCACAAAAAAACAATTTAAGCTCAACCGTTCTAAAAACCTTGCCAAAATGCTACCATCCAACTCTACGTCTTAAGCGTTCTAACAGTCACAACTTCATTCTCTCTCAAACAATAACATACACAATCATTACAGGACGGTAAACAAACATTAGACTAGTACACTCAAATATGTCTAACACACAGA